AGCTGATTACCACAAATACACACCGCCACGGCGTCACATACTGTAGGTTTTAGGGTTTAAGGGTTTAGGGAGTAGAGTTTAGGTTTCAGGGTTTAAGGTTTAGGGGCTCAGGATAATGGTGGAATTGAACAGACACTGGAAACTACTTCAGGATTAGGGCTTGAGGTTGAGGATGGAAGTTTGAGGATTCAGGCTTTAGGATTCATGGCTTAGGGTCCTCTACAGCTTGTGCCCCAGGAGGAAGACCAGTAGTCAGTTATCCTTGAATGTCCTTAAATCACGAAATAAGCCCGATTAACGGGTTTTGGGGTGCAGGATCCGTGAATGAAGCAGAGTTTCTGCTACTGTTGATTTGCGTGGGTGACGCTACAATGAATTTTGACTGGGCATCACCCAACCCCACCCCAAGTGGTGGTTTATGTAACAGATAGTTTCAAATTGGCTCCATTAAGGTTCTGAAGTCGATATTAAATGGGGATATGAGATGTGAAGAGCCCTGAATCAGGCTACATCGAATGCCGAATCTTGGTCAAGCACCACGCAGACGTCGAGCTGAAGGATTCCGTGTTTCCGGGTTTAGGGTTCAGGATTTAGGGAGGGATCCGAAGCGGGAACCCTGACTGGAAAGTCCCAGCTCTGGGATCTTCTGTAGGAACATTCTATGACAGGTTGTCAGCTTGCACCACCTTTCCCCCCCTAATCATAATCCCCACAGGGGCTTTGAGGATATTGGGGTCTGAACATTTACTATGTGGGTGGTTTTGGGGGGTATTACTAGGGGAGTGGATTAATCAATAAAGTTCTGGGAGTCAGAATACTTCAAGGGCCCTAGGGGATGCAAGGCTTCCTCCATCAACAATATGCGGCTGCATCGGGAGAGGAGACAGCTTTAGGAAAGCTATTACGATGCGGCTACTGCAAATCTACCTCTGGCATGCTTCGGCCAAGCCTGCCCTGACTCTGAACCCTACACCCCAATCCCAGACTCCTCATGCCTGAACCCCGAACCCCAAAACCTTCAACCCTGTATCCTGACGCCTGAAGTCAGTCTAAGGGTTTAGGGTTTAGGATTGATATACATGATCCTTGATCACCGTCCCCGAATAATCGCCCCCGTTAATTCCCCTAATCATGAAAACCCCCTAATGTAGCATCATTCTATATTTACATACTCAAGATGGGGGAATATCTGAAGGGGCTTGGGGGGCTGTAATCGGGAGTTGGGGTTAGCCTGGGCCTGTTCCCGCTTGAGCTAGAGTCTAAATTCTTTCAAGGGAAGCTATATGGGGGTTCTATAGGGGACTACTACACTGGTTTTCAAGGGGATACTAGGAGCGTAAACTATAGCTGACTTGGGAACTTGGGAGGTTCCACAAATTGGGCAAAGCCTTTAACATAGCAAGTTCATTTTTATCAGCAGCCCCCCAAAACGGCCCTTGAGTGTGGGAATGCTCATCTTGTCGTGAAAGCTACCTCTGTGCTATAGGGTTTGCGGCTGCGCTATGCCTTGTGGTGTAGTTCAGGACCGCAGGGCCACAAGTGCTCAAGGCAGTTCAGCTCATGTCCAGTTCTCCTGCTTTCAGCTTCGTGAAGGCGAATGAGATACCACTGATTCTGGAAGCAAGAAATGTAAGCATAAGGGAGCGTCTTCAGCTCGAGTCCATGAACGTTGAAGAGCTTCAACATCTCATTCGGGAGCGTGAGGCGGAGTTGTGGGTTATCAAGGACCAGCTGGATCAAAAGGCCAATCCACAGATCAGCATCAATGTTGTGCAAACTTCAGGTCGCTCGATCCCGCTCACGGTGAAGACCAACACCCCCATCCACGTTTTAGCCAGAAAAATCCGGGTGGCACTGGAACTCGGGGAGGCTCCTCTGCCCGTAATGACTCTGATCTGTGGTGGGAAGAAACTGCGAGCGCAGGACAAACTTCACGACTACGGCATGATTGGTGGGGAAACTGTATCCGTGGTCTTGTGCTCTGAGGGTGAGGGCGGAACAGCTGGTGAAGGGTCCGAAATCTCGAGAAAGGACGAGTTGCGTGCTGAAATCCAGCATCTAGCGCAAAGGATGCAGGGGGTCCTCCGTCTCGCACAGGCACAGGAATGACGTGAGTCTCAGCAGGTGCCCAAAAGAGGGCTGGCTGACAATGATCCTCCAAAGCTGCAATGGCTAGTGTCATCCAATAAAGTTGTGGCAAACTCATGATGTTTCACAGGATTTTTGGTGGCAGTTCAGCCCCATGTATTGTTACGAGTACCAGCGCTTGCCGCTTCAAGAAGTCCTCAGGCGTTCTGCCAGAAGTGAAAGGGGCGTCTAACCAAGAGATTTGCTGCTATAGCGGGCTAGTATAGGCTAGGGGGTATTAAGAGGGCCGCTAGGGGTTTAGATTCTAGCTCGCAACATGTCCTTCAGCCTCTTTAACAAAATCCGAGCCCCGGCCCTCCATGGCAGGATAAGACACACTTCACGGCCTTGGACTCTGCAATGGAGAGTGGTCGCTGCTAGGCTGATGAGTGAAGCTCTGGAGGTACCGCTCCACCCCTTAACCAAAACCTCCCAATATTTGAATTTCCAACGTAATCCGAAGCAGTTTTCACTGTAGCTGTCTCTGCTTCTGAAGTCTTCAGGGTCTGGCCCAGGCAAGTAATGCAAAGACTACCACCCTTTTCAGAAGGGGTTAACTAGGGTTCCATGCTATTGTGTGGGAGGGTAAGCCCTAAACCTGAAATCGGCAACCCTGCTGATGCTGATCCGTGACCCTGAGGCTATCCACCTCACAAGCTGTTCCACCTCACTGGCCGCGGATTCAACGATCTCTTGAAGGCCTGGGTCAGTGTGGCCATGAAAAGCTTAGATGGGTCCAGAAAGCTGTTGGTTCACACGTAGAGCAAACGCCTTTACAACTTGGCAGCGATGAAGGGTTGGTTGTTCGCCCAATTTGGGGCATTCCAAACAGAATGTTTTGTCTGGTAAGTATGTCGGCATGACGGTATGTTTAGTGGGGACATTCTTTATAAGGATCAGAGTATCTGGTTCCGAATTAGGGTCCCCTATTTACAGAAACTACCTATTCCCCCCGAGTCTATCTTCGGAAGATTAATTCTCGGGTGCGTTTTTGGGTTTATTTGTTAGGCCCGTTGCTTTTTGGACAGGCTAAAAACTTCGTTAGTAAGGAGGTAAGGAGTTGTACCAGGTTTCACGAGGTCCAGGCATATTAAGAGTGGTGAAGTATGTATGGCCTGGCCATTAAGTGTTTGGGTTTGGTCTTTCAGTTTCATGGCTTCGGGTGTACGGTTTGTGAGACTGTTTGGTTGCTTGCTTATTATGGAATCATGTTTCCGAACCGTGAATCTTGGAAATGTGGCCCCGTGGCACGTGTGGGGGCCTGTTCTTTGGTCAGGTCTGCGATTTGGCTGAAGGTGAAGTATCCTTCACGAGAACTTGCCACCCCCTTACCACATGGATATTGCGGAATACACCAGTTCTTCCAGCCCAGGCGTGCTTTGGTATAAGTGATGTTGGCATTGGTGTTCTTTGGGAGGAGCATCCACCCTAAACCCTGAACCCTAAATCCTACGCCCTAAACCCTAAAACCTTCAACCCCAAACCCCAAACCTCAACCACTGTTTTGAGTAGAAACTCCATTCCCCAGGCTGCTCACTCTGGCCGTGCCCAAGCCTTCCCCAAAACAACATAAAGCCTTCAAGGGCCCTACCAATTCTCCAAACAAAAGGAGGGTTTAGGGCTTCGCGTTCAGAGGGCCGTATTGGGGTTCAAGGTTAGTTTGGGGCAGGGTTAGGAAGAAGGGCACGCGTGTCCTGCGATTTGTTTGCTTCCTTGAAGTGGCTCACATTCAGGTGGCCTTGCACAGTCCCTCTGCGACAACCCACTTACTCAAGGATGTGGCTGAGAACAAGTGCGCGGCTGAGTCACAGACCTTCTCGGCCACGTGTTTGTATGGATTGTGATGGAGGAGTCCTTTCTATTTGCGGCTTGTGGGTTAGGGTTCAAGTCCATGACTACTCAAGTTCTCCCCATGAAGCCGTTGCCGTGATCTTGGTTTCAAGTGCGGCTGATCTCAGTCAATAGACCTATAAGGCGGATATTCGTGTGGCTGCTGAGTGCAGCAGTAGGGAGAATTAGATAACTCTCTTGCTAGTTACCTTGCTGTTTGAAATCAAAACCTCGCAACGCTTCCTCCGCTTGCTGATGCATGTCATAGGTCTTAGAGCAGGAATTTCCTGATGTCCATCTAGCACAGCAGCTCAAGGTTTTTCTGGATGTCCCTAAGTATGAGCTTTTGGGAGCGACTTAAACCTCCAAGGCAATACAGGCATTGCAACACCATGCACAAAACGCAACTTGCAGTGCTGATAGGCCGGATCTTGCACGACGGTCTCGCCCCGCAACTATTCTTGAAAGTGTACCCAACGTCTTGCATGATGTAGTTCATGAAGCATGTCCGAGGCTCTTAGGATGATTTCCGCGCAGCCAGATCAGGCCTTATCAACAGGCGTGAAGCCCGCAAACCCTTGACCCTAGCCCGGAAATTCCTGACCCGAATGGCTGACTCGAAGCCCTTACACAAACCTAGGCTCTGTTTCCAACCCCAAGCTGCGCAGCCTTAACTCTGGACCGTAAACACAGAGCCCTAAGCCCTGAACCTTGACCCAGACATCGAGCCCAGACCTTAAAGTTAACTAGATCAGATAAGGATTCACAACGACTGGGCTGAGCAGCTGTCCAAGGCTGACAACTCTGATTTTCCCGGAAGGGTTCACATGTATGAATTTACTTTAACAGGGTTCCTGGTGAGAAGTATCTATGCATGTTTGTTTGTACACACACACACACGAACGTATACAAAGAGGGTTCTGGCTTCAGGATTTGGATGTAGGTGCCTGCCAGCATTTCGAGTGCCCGTTATGGGGGTTCTGTATTGAGGACTTCTGTACTAAGGGGTGAGCAGTTGACTAGGATAGCAGAATGCTACGCGAAGTGCTGTGTTCTTAAACTCCGAACGCTCAGCCTTAAAGCCTCAGCCTGGATTCCTTTGAACTCTGTTTGTCCTACGTAGGGGGTAGCAACGGGTTCTATTTCTGGACATGTTCCAAGATGGAACATCTTACGACCACCACCACGATGACGACAACGACAACAACGATGACGACCACGTTGCCTTCTCTCCTTTCACTATTCCTACTAGGGTTCTTACTACTACATATTTCTATTACAACAACACTACTGCTGTTGCTGCTACGGCTACTACGGCGAGTACTGCTGCGACTGCTGCTGCAACTGCCATTCCTACGCGTACTAGCTGTTACTAGTTTCCACTGACTGCTACGGACCGCCACTGCAGAACTGATCCTTGCAATGCTTGGTACTCGAAGCTACTTTCTCAAGACCATTGCGTGTGGTAGCCTTGGCAGTGTCAAAGCTGCTGAGTGTTACCTTGACACCCTCTGACACTTTCCAAAGCAGGGGAGTCACTTTGCCAGGGTCTTCGGCCAGGACTACCTGTAGCTTCGATGTTTCTTAGGGCTGAGGTGGTGCAAGGGTTCTTCCCACAACTGCTTCCTCCACCCAGTAGGCACTAGAGTAGGGTAGAAAGAGGTATGGAGGACGTGGACATAGCAGAACTGGCATAAGACCGATCCCCCGTAAACTCAAGATCCTAAACCGCACGTCCGCAGTCCCTAGACTTCCCCCAATCCTTGGAGCCAAAGCCCGGAGCCCCGCACCCTAAAGCCCTAAAGCCCTAAAGCCTTGAACTCTAACACCCTGACCCCTAAACCCTCAGACCTGATTTCCTCTAAACCTTCTAAACCCTCCAAACCCTCAAGCCTTAAACCCGCCCTCCAACCATTACATATTCCCTATTGTAGTTTCCACTTTCTTCTCCATTACCCCTAGAAAACCGCTAATATACTATCCTATACTGTACTAAACCGCGCTATACTATACTATACTATACTATATTATACCATACTATAATACACTACAATATACTATGATATCCTGATGCCTGGGGAAGGAGATGGTCAACTCTCCGGAAGAAGGCTTGCAGAGACTTTGATGCAATGCTCGGAGGACCCATTAAGGATATAGGGCTTAGGGTTTAGGATTTAGGGTTTAGGGTTTCGGATTTAGGGTTAAGGATTTAGGGTTTTGGATTTAGGGTTTAGGCTTTAGGGGCTAGGGTTAAGGATATAGGGTTTAGGGTTAAGGATAGGGCTTCAGGTTTAGGATTTTGGGTTTGAGGTTCAGGGTCAAGGACGTAGGGTTTAGGGCTTAGGATTTTTGATATTAAGATTTTGGGTTTAGGGGGCTTCCCCAAATTTGGGATACCTCTAAAGGAGATAAATAGTTATATAGGGGTTATACAGGGTCTAGGGTTTCCCGAAAATGGAGGATTTTTTTGGTGTTGCCTATGAGGGATCGTAGTATTTTTAGGAAAGGCAGGAATGGATCCTTATTGTAGCCACTGTATAGCCCAACAATATAGTAGTTTGCATTTTCTTTTTCCATTCCTTCATTCCCCTACTATCCGAGAGGAAGATTCCGAGGCGTCGGGTCCATGCG